TTTGACACATTTGACCCCTGTGACCTTGAAAGTAGGTCAAGGTCATTTTCATTCTCAAACTTTGTTGGGCTCTATCCCAGGAAACCATCAGCCAAATATGAAGATTCTATACCTTTTAGTTCTTTAGAAGAAGTCGTTTGAAGTTTTTGACATATTCGACCCCTGTGACCTTGAAAACAGGTCAAGGTCATTTTCGTTCTCAAACTTTGTAGGGCTCCTAATAACGAAGCTTTCAGCCGAATATCATGACTCTAGGCCTGTCCGTTCTTCAGAAGAAGTTGTTTAAAGGAAAAGTTGACGGACGAGGACGGACGGACGGACGACGGACGCCGCGCCACGGCATAAGCTCATTTGGCACTTCATGCCAGGTGAGCTAAAAATGCTTTGAAAGATGTGTTTTATATGGAATACCACGGCTGAAAATGTCGTCAATGTTTCATAATAATGTCATTTGTAATGAGTAATATCATGCATCTCTTATTCATCTTACATCTATGAGCTTCAAAGAGGGTCAAGGTCAAATTTATTTAAATATTGATACGTAAGCTAAAATATCCTGCACATTATGAATCTTTGTTGGAAGATTTCATTACTCTGCACATTACATTGACAGGGATTTTGACATTCAAATGTCTTAAAGTCAAATTTTAACCAACAATTAAATCTGTGTAATAAACAAGAGGCCTGCATCGCTCACCTGGTATAAAACTCACACTTGTATCCTTAAAAGTGATCTAAAATAAAGCTACAGGCAAAATATCAGTATTTATGATTAAAATTCGTTCAAAAGACCCTGTTAATTTTTTTTAAAACATTTCACCCCTGTGATTGAATGTCAAACAAAGTCGTTATGTTAAACACATTGTATAGCCTTTCATCCCAGGATGCAACTTGCAAAGTATAAACATCCTGGGACCCATGGTTATTCATAAGAGGTTGTTTAAAGATTTTAAACAAATTTGACCCCTGTGACCTTGAATATAAGTCAAAGTCATTCACTTTAACAAACATAGTAGTCCTTGATCCCAGCATATGCTACTAACTAAATATCAACATCCTGAGCCTTTTGG